CCGACGGCAAGCCGCGGAAGCTGCTGATCGTCGAGTCCGACGTGAAGCGGCAAGACGTGCTGCGTGAGCTGTTCAAACGAAACGGCTATCGCGTCCTGGTGGCGACCGACGGCGCCCGGGCGTTGACGCGGTTCGTCAACGACCCGTCCGCTGCGGACATCGTCTTGTTCTGCGGTGCGACCATCGGCGCCGACGCCGTGCGGGCGTTCAACCAGTTCGGCGAAGAGCGGGCCACCGCCAACATCCCGACGGTGCTGCTTTTGGAAGAGGCCCAGAATCAGTGGGTCCAGGCCGCCAAGACCGCCGAGCACCGCGGCGTGGTCGTGATGCCGGTCAAGCTACGGCGGCTGCGAGAAGCGGTGCTGAGCGCGGCGACAGCGGTAGAGAACGTGGCGAAGGCGTGAGCAAACCGTTGCAGTGAGCCGGAACGCGTTAGCGCCCGGAGTTGCGGCGGGTACCCACTTCGACTCCGGTCGCTTACGCTTCCGGCTCCCCGTCATTCTCGCTGCTGACCCTCTGCGATCGTTGTGCATACCGTTCTCGGCCACGACCCTGCGAAGGACCGCTTCCGGCGGACGCTCGCACATGGGCGGTTGGCGAGCACGTATCTCTTTGTCGGTCCCGAGGGCGTCGGCAAACGCACCTTTGCCGAGTGGCTGGCGGCGGCGCTGCTCTGTGCGAACCGGCGACATGACTCGCTCGACGCCTGCGGGCATTGCGACAGTTGTCGGCTCAGCATGGCGGGGACGCATCCCGACCTCTTGCGGGTGTCGCGACCTGAGGACAAGACGACGCTGCCGGTCGATCTCTTCATCGGCCCGGCGGACAAACGGAACCGCGAAGGGCTCTGCCACGATATCGCGCTGCGGCCGCTGGTGGCGACACGCCGCGTCGCGATCATCGACGACGCAGACGACTTCAGTGTCGAGACCGCCAACTGCTTGCTGAAGACGCTCGAAGAGCCGCCGCCGGGGTCGCTGCTGATCCTCATCGGCACGAGCATGGCGCGGCAGCTCTCGACGATCCGCTCCCGCTCGCAGGTCGTGCGGTTCGAGCGGCTCGAAGAGACGCAAGTCGCGGAGGTTCTCCGGCGGGAACCTCACTCGCTCGAGGCGAGTGAAGCCGCTCGGCTGGCGGCGATCTCCGGTGGCAGCGTGAGCCGTGCGTTGGAACTCGCCGAGGGGCAGCTCGATCAGGCCCGTCAGACGCTGCTGACCCGGCTGCAATCGCCGCGGCTCGACGCGAACGACTTGGCCCGGGTCTTCGAAGAAGAGACCAAAGCGGTCGCCACCGAGCCCCGCATCCGCCGGCGGGCGATGCGCGAGTTGCTCGCCGCCACGATCGGTGAGCTGCGGGGACGGCTTGCCGAATCGGTCGGCGACGTAACGCGGACCGACGCGATCATTCGCCAACTCGACGCCTGCTTCGACGCGGAGGTGGCGATCGATCGGAACGGCAACCAGTCGGCGGTCGTAGCGTCGTTGGCGAATCACCTGGCGCGACTCGCAAGGTAAAGTTCACGTCGATTTGCCGGCGCAAACGCGCGAACCATGATCGCGTCGCCGAGTTGACCCTTGGCGCGGGGCGGCTTAGACTCCCCGGCCTGAAGCCCAACGGTGGCGACGCAAATCGCGGTAGAATAGCGACTTGCGACAGCCTGTGGCTCGTGTCGAGAAGCCTTGTCGGATTCGTTGTCTGCCTCAATGGTGGGCAATATCAGGAGAGACGATCAATGCGTCAGCGGAATCGATGGAGTGGTCTCGCACGGGTCGCCGTGCTGATGTTCGCCGCCTTGGCAGGGGTCTTGTCGCTGAGCGGTCGAGCCTTGGCCCAAGC